TTTCGGAATGCATTTTGATGATTAGATAGTAGGTTATTCTTTTCTAGGAACCATAGGAGTCTCTTGTTAATCATTTTTTCCAAAATCTTGCAAAGTATGCTTGCGAGTGCAATGGGCCTATAGTTTTCCGGGTTCGTCTTATCTTTGCTAGGTTTTAGTAATGGTATCAATATTACCTCTTTCCATTTGTTCGGGAATGTGTTGGTCATCCATATGTGGTTGTATATGTCTAGGAGGTGCAGGATAGCTTCTTTGGGTAGGTTTTTTATGAGTTCAGGAGGAATTTGGTCGAGAAAATACTAGCCCAGGAATGGTTTTATCCTGCATGCACTCTCAATGAAAGGTCTCAACGGAAATAATTTCTTTCTACCACCCCTTATCGTGATCGGATTATTCCCTTATATCTTCAGAACGGATTGTCTGAAGAGGCCGATTAGGACGTCTGGAAGAATATATCCCATTGGTGATGTCAAAACTTGAATAGTTTGAATAGAATCTCGAAAACGGTTTGTCGGAGGAAAGTAGTCTAAAAGGCAAAATCTGCAGAATGGAGTGTTGGATGTATGCCAGGCGATCTTTAAATGTATGTGTGTAGAGCCTTCTCCCCTTACAGCCCAACCATTTACTAAGCTATTTCGGTTTTAAAAAATGCGCTTTATCTGCACACGAGTTGTGCACAATTTATTTCAACAGGATGGTGCAACCACGCACAACGTCCTAATCGTGCGAGAATAGGTACGTATCGGACAAATTTTTCCATTTTCCAGGAAATTCGTAACTGGGATTCAAACCTAGAACTCGTGGCTCGCGTGTCCAATGCCGGTTGACTTAAGAGCGGGGAATTTAAAGCCAAATGACAGCGTGGACAGATCAACGTAAATCAATATTTTTCTTTCAATTTTATACCAGCCCTAGACGATGTCTCACTGCAAGACGTGTTTACGATATCATAAAGTTTTTTTACCATTCTATAGATTGTTCCTTGAAATGCAACTATCCATTCTGCAGTACAGTACAGTACATAAACACTTCATTAACGAGTTGGCAGAAGTACTAAAGTTCAAATATACAAGTTGTTCTATCAATAAATTTATGCCACTGTTGTTTACGGGTGACATAAAAGGCGGGATAATTCCATATGATATTTGAGCATCAGTTGTAATGTCTTGCGTCTTTAGTAAACCTGTTCTGTCCATTATGGAGGTAATGATCGCCGAGCGACTGCTGTGGCTTTTTACACCACCCCTGTCTAGCAGGGAATCATTTTCGTCTTTCCACCATGGTCATGGCGTCTGGTTTTTTTGTAACTTTTTTTGACATGTTCCTCGACCACCCTCACATCTATCCACTGCGGTCTGACGCTTGGTTTAATATTAGGTGGTATGTGTACTATCAACAAATAAATATCATCGTGCATACTATGGTATGTTGAAAAGTGACACCACCTCCCGAACTATAACTTAATCACTGCTACGGGGGTTCCTTCTGGATTTGAAGATTACCATCGGTTCCGCCCGGCAAGGCAAACCGTCTTCTTCTTAGGCTGCTCAATCGATAAAAATAAATGCTCCGGCTAACTCAAATCGGTGGGCTTTTAACTCTTTTGAAACTGTGTAACAAACCTTGACCTGCCGCCTACCAATCTCCTGCCTCAACTCCTACTCCTCCCTTTCCTTCCCCTCGTTCTTCGTTAAAGACAGGCACATTGAAACCAAATAGATAATATATTGAAATGAGATTAGCGATACAAACAATTTACAGGGATCTAGCAGTTCTTCTCTTCTCCTTGTAAAAACACTAGCTTAACAATGACAACTAAACTAAATAAACAAGTTGTAAATCAGCATATGCATGATTAAAGCGCATTTTTGGTAATGCAGGTCAGTATTTTATTAGCGAAGTTTAAAATTATCGACCTCACGAGTAATTTTGGCTGCGTTAAATAATTAATTTTATTTAATTTCAATTGACGGTACGTCTTCATTTTGTAAAACAAATCGCAAAGTAAATAATAAGTTTTTATACTGGTAGCGCTATCTAACGGTAAAATTATAGTACCTCCGAAACCCATATCGAAATTATTTTCTTCAATTATCGATCTTACAAGTAATCTAACTCAAAATAGACTAGTGCCTGCACATCTACACTATAGCAGAAAGCTTTTAGTGAAAATTTGAATTCTCTAGCTATTGTAGTTGTGGAGATCTCACGCGGACAGCCGGCCTGCCAGCAATAACGAATATAATAGCGTATTTTTTTCAAAAATGCGCTAAAAATCCTAACAGGTGAGACTAATTTACTCAAGGGGTGGCCATCCTCTACAGTTTGAAAATTGCAACAACAGGTAATCGTTTTTTAATCCAGCATGGGCTGGGACTTATTTAAATAAACACAAAAATTTATCCTACTCTTTGGTAATCGTTCATTGGACTTTAATAAACAATCAAATCAAAATTTTTTTACTATAGCTTAATTACCAAAAAGTGGAATTTTACAGAATATTACAAATTTAATTTAGACTAACCTTTACAACATTTGTACAGCCGATCTTGTGAACTGCTCTTTCCTCTGGTACAGGGTGGATGTGATGAAACCTGACACTTAGGTCTCTGTGACTTCCTAGGGGGTGGCTTGAATTTAACACACGGAAACAAAAATCCACGGTGCCTATCCTTCCTCGGAACGAAAGCAAAGTTTAGCGTTTGAACTGAAACTTAGTCCAGGAAATCCTTCGCGTGGCGAGTGGGAGACGGCTAGTTGCCAAAGTTTCTACCCAGCACGTGTATTTAATTTTATTTTATTAGTTTATTAGCTTTGACCGCCTGCGGGAGACGGATTTTTGAGTTAGCGGTACGGCAGAACACAAACTTTTATGATCACTATCCGACGGTAAACCGCGATGGTTCGACGTATTATTTCACCAGCTCTTCTTGGGGCAAATATCTCTCCGAAACGCAGCGCTCCTTCGACAAATGACCTTACGGCACTAGTAGGAAATTCCACCTGGGGCGGATCCCGAAATTCTGCGCCTTGAGGACTTGGGCAGCACTTTGACTTATATATCCTCGAGAAATCACAACGTATCCTAACGCGATTCACTGCATCCAAAGTAAACTGGGGTGAAGCTCAAGGGTTCGCCAAAATATCACCTGATTGGAACCTGGGTCTTCTTCGCCAAAAAATCAACGCGAAAAGAAAATAACACTTCGGAACGGGTGCAAAAAGCACGCAACTGCGAGCAACCGAAATAAGCCGGTGGCTCAAACCGCCAAGTGTACCAAAACGATCGCTCAAGGTACGTGTTGACCGCTTGACGTACTAACCGCGAGTCTCTTCTAAAACGCGATCACTCAAAGTACGTGTTGACCCCTCGACGTACTAGCCGCGAGTCTCCCCAAAAACGATCCCCTTCTTCAGAATTGAAATGAAAAAACCACACCCAAATTACCATAAAACAAAAATGGCTCCCGCTAGAAATTCTCCCATTGGTTTAGATAAAGAAGACTTAACCCACTCTAACTTCGTCGTCAACCTCAAGGAACTGCTGACTCAATTGATCTCACGGTTTTCTGCTGATGACGTGAAAACTCCTTATCTCTTGACGGCTCGGTGCTACATCCGCTCCTATTCTCGGTCCAGACGGCGCCAAAGTTGATAAACGAACGACAAAAAACTCGCATTACTCATGATGACGTCAATCAGCTTTGCACTCTTCCCACGACGAAATTAAATCTGAGCGAAATTAAATCTATCGGACCATAGTCTTGAGCGAACCGAAATGCCCAAACACAAAATTTCTAACCGGAACAAATAATGAAATATACAGGGTGACCTTCACTATCATGACAAGAAATTTCGAAATTTTTAATGAAATTTGGCGCGAAATCAAACCACTCGTTACCTCTTTTAGTCCTATAAACTATAACTGGTGATAGGAACTACTTTTCCTGGCTGACTGTAACTGATGTGGTGATAGGATGCTAATTCTACTAATCTAAAAAACTAAACTGAACAGATATATTTTTTATGTTATTTAACTTATGTTGTTAATGGGCACTAGTGCAAACCATATGCAATGTGTCCCATTTTAGGGAATTATTTCTAGGTAATATCGTAATATGACTGGACTAAACTAGTAAACTAGCGTTTATCAAACAGTCAGTTTTTGTGTTTTAATTAATGTAACTAGCTCCGTCGCAGTATACCACAAATTGTCATTACTTCATTACTGGCGTCTCTTGAAAATTCGGTTGCTAATACAAATCTTGCGAGCCGGAAACTGTTTGCACAAAAAACTAACGTAAGAAAAATATATGAAGAATGCCTGAAAGAAATCATTCTCGATCAATAAATATGGGAGTTTGTTATAAGCGCGTTGAAAAGAGCATCCCGACGAACGCTCCGTCAGATTACTGCTTCCCTCCATCACTAAAATTTGGTTTAAATTTGAGGCACGCTAAATTAAGATTAGATTATTATACAGATATATGCCATCCTCCCTATTACGATAAATTCATACTGCAGATAGCAAAATGGAACCGAATTTTTCATAAGGTAACATTATTAAAAATAATTTTTAAACCAAGATGCGAATTTATAAGTATAAACGACTTCGATATTCAAAAAATTCACAAAAAAAACCTTTTCATATTTTTCAAACAAAATTTTATATCAACATATGAAAACTGAATTGAACTTTCCTTCATTTTATGCTTCGCTGACGTTTTCCTATCTATTATTCTTATAAAATTTAAAATTAAATCGAACTGGGATTGCAAACGAAACCTCAAGTGTCCCTTTACATATTTTATGAGGCAAATAATTTTCTATGAAGTTTCGAATTTCGGTAATAAATTGAAACATAATTTATACCGATCGTTATACTATGCACAATTCCTGAAAAAAAGTATGGCGAAAGGTTACGCAGGAGCACAAATAAATTAGTTTCTTACAATCGATTTAATGAACAATCGTATTATCATAAATTGTTTTTATTACAGTCCCTCCTAATAGACCTGTTATATATGATGGGAAAAGAAGAGATAGAACCACCTTATTAGAAGCTTACAACGAAGGTTCGGACGTTAATCTTATCTGTGAAGCCAATGGAGGTAAAATAACGTTTCATTCACTTAGACGAAATTAAATTTAAATATAAGTAATTTTAAAGGAAAGCAATTTGGTTATATCGAGTCTTAAAACAGGACGTTTTTAACGAAATTGCTTTGCAATTCTATGTAAGTGTTGTTTATCTTATTATTCAAGAAACGTTATGAATAATTCAAATTTACACATTTTAAGGCTTCCTTATGCGCAGTGCGAATATTTGATTTATTTAAAATTGTAGTCAATACGTTTTGACGGCGGTTTGATTAAGTGGATGAAAGCAAAATAGTACTAACGAAGCTTTTATCACGATTGTATAGATAAAACGCTTGTCGAAAGCATTTACGCGAAACAGGAAATTATTCAAAAGATTTATAAATATGGATGTGTCATGTTTGAATGAACGATACTGTAAATTTTATTAAATGCTCTCACAATTTTTTATTATTTCAGGGCGCCCCAGGCCGAACGTGACGTGGTATTCCGAAAATACTTTAATAGATGATTCTTTCGAATTTAGGCCCGATGGGGTAGTAGTCAATCATTTAAATTTTCCCAATGTTGGCCGCCAACACTTGAACACAAGACTGATTTGCCAGGCGTCCAACACCATTCTCACGTCTCCCACAACAAACGTAGTTATATTAAATATTAATCGTAAGTATACTACACCGTAAAACGAGCCTTGGCAACATAATGAGTTGCACGTAACCATATTGATGAATATCGAGTGACATTTTGTCATCGCGAATATTAGTTTTAATGAACGCTCGATATTCAATAATGAAGGATACAAATGGCGGTACATTAATTCAAAAATTCCTATACTCCATGTAATATAGAATAATGATTGTAATTTGCTCGGGATTAATAATAATAAAACAATTTATAACTAAGCTTAAATCTCCCATCGTATCTAGCACTTGTATTATTACTCGAGTAGCTAATCCTCATCGCACGCTGAGACCTCTGACCATAACTCTATCGATTCACACAGAGCATGACATCTCATTTAATAAGTTTCATAGAACATGTTCCTCTTCCCCCTCAATTTATGCTTTATCACACAATTTAATTTATCGGCGGTATTAGAGTGTGTAGTAGATAAATTCTCGCGAATTTTCAACTTATACAGTCTTGTAGATTGTATCAATCAAAAATCCTAACTTCTACGGTTGCTGTTAAAAATCCTAATTACATGTAGATCACGATCTGCACCGTCTTTTAAATATGAAATTATCCATTAAAAGAATGTTTGGTTAAGGCCTGGTATGGTAGAGTAGTGTTTAAATATCACATTTTCTGTAAACTCTAAGGCTCTAAGGCTTTCAAACTTTGGCTATTGCTTACAGCCAAAAAAGATTAACTTTAAGATGAGGTTGTGTCCTATTATAGAATTTGACGTTTAGATTTTTAACATAAGTTTTTAGTTTTTTTAGAATTCGCGATAACAGCTTAACATTTTTGCACTACCGTTTTTTCAATCGTTCTTTAAGCTCGCAATCGTAAACGATAAATTGTTAGTTTTAGGCAACTAACTTATCTTTACCCTCTAGATGTAAACTTCTTGACTCAGATATGGAACGACCCGCGTGTATAAGTATGATAAAGGCGACAGGTATTTAAACTGAATGATATTTAGAAACAGTTATCATAAATTTACCCGGCCATTTTTTTTTCCAATAAAATTCACCTGGTTATGCAAACATTTGAAGTCAATTTCACTTTTTCCTGATATTGTTTGATTATCGACATTTCTGCTCTTGAAAAGTTACCCGTCTGCCGAATAACAGTGCGGTATCAGTCAACTGGATGCCCAGTATGACTCGCACAAAAGAACAAAAATGTGTAAATGTCACTCAGAATTTCAGGGCTACTACTTATCATAACTGACACTGACAGAAAAGTGTAGTACCAGTTCTAGAATCGGATTTTTTAGGCCCACGACCGTTATTTTAAGAATAGAATTTTAGATTGCGTGTATTTTTTATGTTTATATAATCACAATCACAATGACATAGTTGGCGACGCACCCCCTCACACCCCCTGCGCCCTAGCCACCCCAACTTTTAAATCTTAAATAGGGACTCCCCATGTGTGATACGTCATTGGAAAGCTCTGAAAAAATGCTTTCCAACCATACCAAATAGCATTACATTTAGGTTAGTAATTATCGTGCAAATCAAAAAATAAACATGGAAAATCGTATTTAACTTGAACTTCCAAAGCCGACTCGACAGCAATTCATTTTTGATCGCCAGTTCTAATCTATTCTCAAACTCTTGTCGAACCTTTTCAAATGTTGGTTTTGCAATATTTTGACATTCTTGAATTATTATCTGTCTTGGTTCGTCTATGTTCGCCGGTTGCGTTTTAAATACGACAGATTTCAAATGTATCATATTAGTTTATTTTTTGATTTTCACAATAAATTACTAACCTAAATGTAATGCTATTTGGTATGGTTGGAAAGCATTTTTTCAGAGCTTTCGAACGACGTATCACACATGGGGGGTCACTACTTAAGATTTAAAAGTTGGGGTGGCTGGGGCGCAGGGGGTTGGAGGGGGTGCGTCGCCAACTATGTCATTGTGATTCCCCCTCCGAATTACCGAAACGGATTTTGATTTTTTTAAGTATCTCGTTTATTTACTAAGATATGAGGGGTGGTAAGTTTTTACATTGTCACCCTGTATACAAATTTATTGCTAATATTTAAATTAATTTTGCAGGTGTTTTTTATGTACAATTTCTTTATCTTTAGAGTTTAGTTGTTGGGTTATTGTTGTATAAAATGAATGAAATGAATAAAATTACACCATATTCGAAAGTATTTTAGTAAAGCTGCTATTGACATTTTTTAAATTATGTCATTTCTTTTATTGGAAAATCACGATGGCGGTTGTGACGGCACGGCAGACGCTTCTCAAAATTGAGAAAAAAATTAATTATAAAAATATTTCAGTAAATCTGAAATTTAAATATGTTATTCTTAACAGTATTTCTAGCTTACATTTAACATGGCAGACATTTTCTTCGGTTATAACAATCTGGCAGACAGATAAAGTACCGCTCGAGCATATGTATACATGTGTACAGTAAGTAGGTACTTACTTTTCTGTCAGTTTAATCAGCATGTTTTTGAATTTACTATTACCTACTATTATTAAGGTTCCTCAGAACCTTTATAGTTTTGTATTGTCGTCCGTCCGTCCGTCCGCGCTATCTCTTTTTTAAAGTGGCAGATCGTGTTGAAATTTGGTATACGGGTACTTTGGACATTAAGGACGGCCGCTACTGATTTTCAGGAAAGTGGCTCAACAGGAACAAAAGTTATTAATTTTTTTCTTACCATTCAATAATACAAAACTAATGCTTTTTGCTTTTAAAAAAATATATATTGTTCGATATATTTATTACAGTAAAGTCCTATCAGCATCATCAAGATCATCTTCTTCGTCGTTAGATAGGTGCTTGTCTTCCTTTATGTTCATATTCATATCTGTATCTGTCAAGGTACCTGTAACCATAAAATTTAAATTTGCAAATTGAATCAAGTATTTTTTAATAGAATTCCTGGAGATTCTTCCACCAAATCGCTGACAAGGTCCGGAAGTTGATCTCCCTCAAACCATTTAAAAACGAAAGAACCTTCTTCCTCTATCCAACCATGTTCCAGTGGTGTCTTATGCTGTTCATCAAGTTCAAACTGCAGGTGCTCGATAAAAAGTATTTCCTTCCGAGTGTAATTAAATTCGGAGCAAGATTTCGATCCTGCAATAGAAATTTAAAAAAAAAAACACGCTGCAAATGTTCAGTGTAACTTAAAATACGTGGTTGTCCTCTGAAAAAAATTAGTAATAAAATCACTGCTTTTTACCCTTAAACAGCTATTTACCGAACGAACTTCATTGGAGTCGAGAATGATTGCAAGAACTGACAAATTCTATTCAGTCCTCAGAATCAAAGCGAAATTGGTGATTTTTTGCAGGAGAAGGCAGCGAATGAAATTTTTTGTTTAAGTATATCTTCCCACACAATGCCTCGATTTTAATTATTTAAAGAAAGTTTTATTGATTTTTTGAAGGCAAACAACATTGAAAATGTAATACTACTTCTTTAAATTACTTGTGTATAAGAGTTCTCGCATTGGTCCAAAACACTACCTTTATACGTTTACAATAGTCCCAACACATTATTTCCAACTTTTTACAAAGACATGCCATTTCTCTGAAGCACGTCTGGTAATTACATATGTAAAATCTTCAAGGTTCTTTGGACCTATCACTTAATTAAAATACCGTCATTTCTATATGTAACCATAGTCCAACGGATTAAGTTTTTTACACGGTTCTAGAGCATCAATACATTTTTCGCATCGCAAATAGCTTCATTTTATGTGAACATTGTGTTATAATTTATATTTATAATTATCTTCTTTGTAATCCACTAGTTTAGATGTAAATTGTTCCTGTAGTAGATTTGTTATTATCTTAGTAAACGTTTCTTTCACATAGTTCTTGGTTTTACCGACGGAAGACGTGCAGTTTTCTTTAATTTCTTTCGGTGCACGCACTTCTTTTTACAAAGACGAGATTCGATCATTACTTGCAGAAGATTATACGCCATTACAGTTGCTCGACAATTTTTTTCAGCCTTTTTGGGATTTTTATTGATGCTGTATAAGTTTAGTGAAGTTTTCTCTTGTTATTTTGCTTTCGACACTTCGATGACGCATTTGCAGATGTATTTTACACGTTCTAAGGCCGTATTCGGTACGTTAACAAAAATTACGCATCTTTTGAATAACCATTTTTAGGCTTCTTACTTCTGGCTTACTTTTATCCTCATTATTACCTACCGAATTGTGCTTTCTACACCGATATTTCTGAGTAGAAACCACCGAATTTAGGATTCTCTCAATATTGCGCAAGTAAGATTCATTTCGGGAGGTCCACCGGTCATCTTATTAATTGAAGAACGCCATAGATGAGTTTCTACCTTACAGACACAAATTAGATTTCGGGTAAAATTTAATACAAAACTCGTCAGTAAAAAATGACATTACTTGCGTCGGAAATTAAAGTACTCGGTCTCAAAGGGGCCTCGTACTTCCAATATTTCCTCGCCAGTAATGTGCCATTTTCCTGAATTGTATGTAAATAACTATTAATACTCCCATAGATCCTTAACAAATCTCCGCAACCAAATTTAGGGAACGTACAACTGGACACCTGACATGGGCTAGCTCCTAGATTAGTTAGGAAAGGTTTGTTGATTATGCAAGTTGGAGTCGAATTTAATTTCCAATGTCGTAAACGGTGGGAATTCATATGGCGCCAAAACTGAGAATGTTCGAACGTCTTTGAACAGCTTTTATAATCTACACGTAATCTGCTTCCCCACGTCTACTTTCTTTTCCCCAAGACGCACAATTTCACCGTACTTAAATACTTATCAAGTCCACAAAAATGTTATCAATGTGTCTAATCCACAAGCCTAACAAATAATTTTATACAAAAAACACCTGCAAATTTTATCAACTTAAATGTCTGTTCAAAATAAATAAAAGCAACAATTTGGCATATTTAATGATACTCACATTCAGTTAAACAAAAAATGTACATTTGCAGCGCCATAAGCCTTTCTCATAAAAATTACAAAAAAAAGTACTAAGTACTAAGGTGTAGGAAAATTCTTATTTAGTAGTTCTACTTTAGTTGGGTAGAATTATTTCAATAGCTTTACCAAAAATCAATCAAAATCTCTTTGTCGAACTCGCGAAATACTTTACACGGAATTTAAGCAGAGGAGGCGAAGAGTTTTGGTGGATCATCCTAATGAAAATTACATTTACTTAGGTATATTCATTAACCACAATTTCTGAGAGACTTCTCAATGAGTTAATATATTGAAACCCGAAGGAAGGTTAATTATTTTGTTTGCGAGGTTATTCGTTATGCAGTATTTTCCGAGACACATTTAATAACATTTCGGAAACTGCATCATGGTGAAATTAACTCGTAATTTAATTAAGGTTGATAAAATGAAGTTGCGTTAAAACTTACGACGAAGCAAATACACTCGCATTTTGGATAAGGCTCTCTTTTGATCTAAAGTTTAATATACATGTACATTTCTAAATTTGAATATCAACGAAAGTAATTTTGTGCAACAAGTTATGTAAATAGTAATTTGCATGTACTTAGATTATATGCGAGTTTAATAATTTGCCTAAATTACTGGAGAGGATTTAATGTCTGTCATTTCTGATTGCTCGTAATTACTTCAGTAGTTAATGCATAAAATCCTCATCTCTGTTGCAGTTAAGCCACAGACTGTTCATATTTTAACCAAAGAAAAACAAGTTTCGGCGGATAAAAGATACGAAATTGAATGTAGAACATCGGGATCACGCCCGGAAGCTGTGATTACGTGGTGGAAAGGCAGTAGGCCTATCAAACGGTTAGCTAAAAATGTAAGTATACCACAGGATTCACATTTTTCCCCTTTAAAACTTTTAATTAATTTTTTTTAAGAAATTTGTTCGCTTGTTACATACGGGAATTTATGCGCGCCGTGTAATTTATACCTTCGCTTCTCCCTCACCTCTTCATAATCCATATTGTGGGTTTATTATTCGTTATCTTTATTGATTACCCCAGTTTGTTAGTCCTTAAGTTCCTTTTTAAGCTAACGCGTTTAAAGTAGTCGAGAGATTTATAATCGTACATTCACGGCTTCCATTCATTCCCTTAACAAATAAAAAAAGTTTTAAAGTAAAAGCATTGAAAAACGCACGCAGGAACTGCGTTCTTGATTGTATTTTAAAAATAAATTTACCTTTTTTGCGTAAAGAGCCGTATTTTCTGTTGAGAAAGAAGCTTACAAGTCGACTTATTCCAGGAAAGCCTGAATTCAGGAAACGCTAACAGCAAAAATACTAGAAAAGCTTAATAAAATTTTGCCTTTTATTTGTATTTTTTTCTAAGGAAGTTGTTTCCCCTTGAAAACAAGCGAACGGGCTCATTTTGTTTTAATGAAATCTCGCTTGGCTTTCTCAATTTGTATGTTACTAATTGGAAATCTAAGCTCCTTTGTGCTGATACATTTTGTTCTAGTTTTCAGAAATGAACAATCAGAGTTTAAGTATTTTGACTTTTGTACCTGTGATCGATGACGACGGCAAATACTTGACCTGTCGTGCAGAAAACCCGTCCATCTCTGACAGTGCCCTCGAGGACAAGTGGAGACTTAACGTCCACTGTAAGTGTATCTTAATCGGAATCTAAGCTTTTAGCTGAAGTGGGAAATTACTGTTGATGGTTGGAAAACTTTGCCGTTATAAAATTGAATTGGTTAACTAATTGTAGCACGCAACCTTCACGTACTATCCAAGTTAATTTTCTTATGCTTCACGCTATTAGTTTATTACTCGCAGATTAGTAATAGGTAGAGTGCGGATTTATGGCATTTTGCCTACACGTTAATGTTGAATGCAGAACATAATGGTTTTGGATATACACGTTTCATGAAAAAAGAAAGCGTTTGATGTTATTTTTATTTTGCCTTTTTTGCTTGTTTTTTAACATTGGTGCTTTAAATGCCTTTAAACGCTTTTCCTGGCTTTTTTTTTACATTTCTACACTGAGATTAGAATAATATCTCGCATATTAACTTAATGTGGGCAAGAATGTTGGGATTTGTATTTTTTTAATGCACTGTAAAAAATTAGGATCCCAAAATTTGCCACTTGACGAATCAATTAAAATCGTAGATTTTCAAAGAGACAAATAAGATAAGCGGTCCAATAGCCGATACAGTTCAGAAGAAATTAGAGGACGTACTAACAAAAAATTCTGGTTTTCATATTCTTTCGAAAATCTCCAAAAGCCTAAACGGAAATTTCGTTGAAGATTTAAAAGCACATACTACAGCACCATTAAACGTCTTTAAATTTGCACCAATTACCTCTGCAGATGTTGAGAGAAGTTTTTCCGTCTATAAAAATATTTTATCGGACCGAAGGTAAAATTTTTAATTGCAAATATATAATTTAGTCCAGTCAATAGAGAAAAGTTTAGTCAAAAATTTGGTGTCCAAGAGGTTATGACTGATTCTTATGTATTTTTTGGCGTAGATTCCGAATTTTTAATCTCCCACCAACCTTAGGGGGTGGGAACCCCCCCAAAAATGCAAAAAACCCCAAAATTTCGGCCCAAAATTCAGAATTTTGGAAAAATCTCGCTAAATTTAGATTTTTGGCCCAAAGTACCTTAGTTCAAAATTAAAGTACACAAAATTTGCAGGAAAAGTGATATATACACTTTTGGTCTAGGACCAACGGGGGCGGAGATAAGAGGGGGGTCAAAAAAGGGTACTTTGTTGGAAAACGTGAAAAAAACTGAATTTCTCTGAATAACTCGCTAAATGTTGGTTTTAGAGAAAAAACTCAAAGGACCAAAATGAAAGTAGACGAAAAATTACTTCGGAAAGTGCACGTGTGCGGAGCCGATGAAGGGGGGGAGGAGGGGGAGGGGGCGAGCGCAAAACCTCTCTTCCTGGCGCCGCGCGACGGCACTGGCATAAGGCGCTATACGCGCAGTTTCGGGTATCTCTGGCGGCCTCGGTCCCGGTCATAACGGATGCTTCTTTGTCCTTATTTTAGAAAGGGGCCTCTGGCTTCCCCCTCCCTCTTGTTGGTCGTTTGTATGCTTTTTGTGTCCTCTGGAAACCAGTTCAAGATCCCTCTTCAGTGCGTCTGTGTTGTCGCGTCGTGCGCATCACGCTATATTGCTCCCTGCTTATTTACTATTTTTCGGTTAAAAGTTTGTTGTTTTTACCGAAATTTTCTGTAATATCGTGCTCGCGCGCCTGTGCGTTTTGAGTTTGTTCGCTTGCATATACTCTCGAGGGGAGAGAGTGGAACTAGTTTTAACCTTCATGGTACTCTAATGAAAGGTCTCAACGCAAGGAATTAATTTCTACCAACCATAGCCCTCCTCCTCGACCTCTTATCGTGATCGGGTATATTACCTTATACCTCAAGAACGGATTGTCGGAAGAGGGTACTATCAAAGGGCGATTGAAACGTCTGCAAGAAATATATCCATTGGTGATGTCCATACAAAAGCTATTTCGGTTAAAAAAATGCGCTTTATCTGCACAGGAGTTGTGCACAATTTATATCGGGCGATCAAAAATGATTGGCTGTCGAGTCGCCTTTGGAAGTTCAAGTTAGATACGATTTCCCATGTAAACAAAAATTCCAAAGGCGACTAGAGAGCCAATCATTTTTGATCGCATTGTACTTGTTTATTTAGTGCTCGAGTTACAATTTTTGGGGGAGATTGTAGTATTTGTCTGAAATTCTGATTTGCATGGCGGACAGCAAGAAACGTTACTTTCGCACTTTTTTAGGCCATCTTTAAATAAAAACTCAACCTCTACTGGCTCAGGCGAAAAATAGTAAATAAGCACGGAGCAATATAGCGTGATGCGCACGACGCGACAACACAGACGCACTGAAGAAGGATCTTGAACTGGTTTCCAGAGGACACAAAAAGCATACAAACGACCAACAAGAGGGAGGGGGAAGCCAGAGGCCCCTTTCTAAAATAAGGACAAAGAAGCATCCGTTATGACCGGGACCGAGGCCGCCAGAGATACCCGAAACTGCGCGTATAGCGCCTTATGCCAGTGCCGTCGCGCGGCGCCAGGAAGAGAGGTTTTGCGCTCGCCCCCTCCCCCTCCTCCCCCCCTTCATCGGCTCCGCACACGTGCACTTTCCGAAGTAATTTTTCGTCTACTTTCATTTTGGTCCTTTGAGTTTTTTCTCTAAAACCAACATTTAGAGAGTTATTCAGAGAAATTCCGTTTTTTTCACGTTTTCCAACAAAGTACCCTTTTTTGACCTCCCTCTTATCTCCGCCCCCGTTGGTCCTAGACCAAAAGTGTATATATCACTTTTCCTGCAAATTTTGTGTACTTTAATTTTGAACTAAGGTACTTTGGGCCAAAAATCTAAATTTAGCGAGATTTTTCCAAAATTCTGAATTTTGGGCCGAAATTTTGGGTTTTTTGCATTTTTGGGGGGGTTCCCACCCCCTAAGGTTGGTGGGAGATTAAAAATTCGGAATCTACGCCAAAAAATACATAAGAATCAGTCATAACCTCTTGGACACCAAATTTTTGACTAAACTCCCCTATTTAGGTCTCTATTGACTGGACTAATTGTTAATTGTTTTTCTGATAATTAGAGTTAGTTTCATCATAATCGTGATTTTATTGAGGAATACAGGTTTTTTGTGTGGATGGTTGATTGTGCATTTGTTTGCTTACTTTGCCTTTTTTTTTAGCTTTTTTTGCCGGTTTTGATGCATATAATAAGCGCTTATTTTATAAAAATAAATGCATTTTTATCCGCACTCTAGTAATAGGGTATATAATTTTTGTAACGGTGGCTTAGATCTCGTATTATACAATTCATAATCGCAAGTCAAGCTGTAGTATTATTTATGTAAGCTGTTTTCGATCTTGAGCTAAGCTTTGTAATTGTGTGCGTCTTCGAATGCTCGAAAAACATCGATTCTTTTGTTGATATGACGTGGAGAAATATACATTTGTGCTATTTAATTAATGACCAATGTCACTCCTAAATATTGATTGGCATTCAAAGTTATGGTTATCACTAACTACATGTAAGGTCAAAATGCAAATAGTTCAAAAATTCGGTAATGATTTAGTGCAACCTGGCAACAGTATTATTTACAGTAACAGGTTGAAGACAAGTACAGGGCGAGTCAACGATTGCGCGGAGTAACTTAATGCCTTGAAGATAAGATTTTTCGATAGAGTGCTTTTGTATTATGATATGGTTGAATATTCTCCACATTTTAAAAGCTGGACTGTGGTGCTAGGGTCCCTGGTTCGAATCCGGGTTCGGGCATGGATATTTGTAAATGTATAGTGGGTTGGGTTGGTAGAGCAGCCTTGGCTGAAACCCCGCCCACTCAAAAATAAAGGCAAAATAAATAAATAAAAAATAAAAAAAATATTTAGAATTATACAGGGTGCGCCCACAAAGTAGGCTGCCAAAATGGTACATTTTTTTAAATAGAACCCCTTGTATTTGAATGAATTTTTGAATTCTACGTGTAATTGTACGTCTATTTTATTATATGGTTAATATCCGAAAAACTAGTAGTTTTAAAGATAATTCGATTTGTAAGAATGGGCATTTGATGGCGTCAGTATATTGTCAAAATTATTAAATTTTGATTCCAGGTTTTATATCTTCTATCCTGGTTTAAGTAAAAGTCAAATAAATACATCTACTATGAAACATTAAAAAAATAGCTTACAGGGTGTTTTTTTGTAGATGCAAAGTTACAAAACTTCATATTAAAAAATCTCACTTTTTTAAATGGAACACCCTGTATATTTTCCTGTCATTTATTTTATTTATTTATTCAGATCAAAAATCATCGAAGGACAAAATATCCTTAGAATAGTCCAAGGAATAGCTCATTAAATTTTTGCCGCATGTTTAACTGTGTTCACTGGTTTGTTTTTCCAGTCATCTTTTCTGTTTTGTTAGCATATCTCTCCGAGACTCTGCAAAGTGACTATCTTAACGAAAACGAGAAAGACCAGCGTGTACTTTCATTTCTTTCTAAGTAACTGTCCGAGGCAGCTATTTCAACTCCTTTAATTCTTTAAAAAATCTATTGTCTATAAACCGTTCGCATATCCGAATCGTAAACGATTACAACGTAACGTATCAGGATACCTAATAATATATGCGCATCAGCCATCGCTGCTCATTGCAAAAAATAGCGTTGTATGTAACACAGGACAAAGTGTGTCACACACTTTTACCCCTTGTTTATAGTATACTGTTTTGAATGGAGTGGAATGGAACAGAGAAAAAGTATTTGAAACTCTATAGCTTCCCACATAATTACGTAGGAAGAAAACACCCTCTTCGTTCGTGTGATTTCTTTTTATCTACACTAAGTGTCGCAAACAGCTTACTTAATTATTAAATATGAAATTTTCACGATTTTTTAATTAAATAGAAGAAATATTCTATTGACATATGTTCATACTACAGCTTGCGTGTGACATTCTGACAACGCCGAAACTTGTAGTAGGTTTAGAAAACTCTCGCTTCGATATGAAATACTCGAAAAACCAACACAAAATTAAATTATTCAGTATGCGGTTTTCCATTTTTAAATGAAGGAACATCTCGAGCAAAATATTTGAATACATAAGAAAGAAACCGAGTAAAGGAACGCGCAAGATAAATTGATTTTTCAGTTAATTTTAATGAGTATCGCTTACATAAACAGAAACTTATTTTAACTTAAATAAATAGGAAAATATTTCATTTGTTACTTGCGAGTATTTGGGCTGTTAGTAATACTTTACGATGTAAATACTTCAATTCAAAGCCGAAAGTTGTTAAAACTTTAGATGTCTTTTTTCTCAGATATGCCTGTCGTAATGCTCAAAATGGGATCAAGTCTGAATCCAGAAGATATTAAAGAAGGCGACGATGTTTACTTTGAATGTAACATTCGCTCGAATCCTAAAGCCTACAAACTTTCCTGGTTTCACAACGTACGTAATTCTTTTCTTTTTAACTGAATATTTTACTTTTTATTACTTGCTTTCATTTACTTACCGCAACTGATTTAGGGCGCGGAGATTCATCACAACGTTTCGGCGGGGGTGATATTAAGCGATCAAAGTTTGGTTCTTCAAAGTGTAACTCGAGCGACGGCGGGGGAGTTCACGTGTATGGCTGCAAATGCGGAAGGAAGAGGAACAAGTAATCCCGTAACTCTTATTGTAAGATGTGAGTATGAATTTTTCTTTTATTTAACATGCATATCTACCATATCCTGATCATAATTTAGGTTCTCGCGCGTAGGTACTCTTTGTATTTTTAATATGTACAGTAGGTAGCGCGTGTGCGCATTATCACTGATATTTATGACGGACCTACATTATCATAACCGAGTTCTTTTCTCTCTTTCACCTGTAATGTCTCAAAATGCTATTTACGTTGAAGTTAAAAGAGTAATTTATTTATTGGTCTATTCAATTTAAATCGTACACACGTTTGTCAATGGATCTCAATTAAGGTTTGTGCAATTAATTGCTTTTATTATATTGAATAGTAATTACAAATTACTTTTCCTCTCTGAGTATACAAATAATGTCACTTAACAACCAACGAAAAAAAATCCCAAGGTGCAGTTCACGACACCTTGTGATAATCTCACCATCTGGTGTGAATACTTAATGTAAAAATGGTTTACAACTCTTAAAATGTATCTTTGTTGTGAAATACACAAAACTGTGAGACCAGAATGAACCCACCAGCCGTACCATTAAAATTTCCCTCATACAATGAACTATAGTCGATAGTAAATTAACTTGATGCAATGTACAATTGGCAAGAGGGAAAGTCTACCAAAAAGCAACGATTAACGTCCACCACCACAACAAGCAACGGTTCACGTCTTCCTCTATTATTTAAAACATTCTTCCCTCTCTCCGTTTGCGCCTCTCCCTCACTTGATTTTGCGTCTGCGAAATTAATCGCCAGATAACATGAGATAAACTTAAACAAAACATTTCACGCTAAGATTTCCAAATATTCCTTATCTTTCAAAATGAAAAATAAAATAAAACCAAGATACTACGTGATTATTTAAACAACATTGAGCATCAATCTTTAATCTAATTAGCATACGCAGCGATAACAAATTTCTCATCATTTATTTAAACCAATTTACCTGGAGTTAAAACAAATGGTGGTAGGCGCACTTTTGGAAGAAAAGCGTTTAGTTAGATTTTTCCAAGCCAAAATACAGCGTGTCTAGAATAATTAAACAGTACAATGAACGGGGGCATATGGAAAAAATGCCAAAATAAGGAAGACCTAAAAAATACATTTTGGATGGATAGAAGAATAAAGAGGATTAGCCAAAGAGAACCGTGTTTGTCAGGATAATTGCTGAAATTCTTAAAATGAAAGTAAGTGCGAGGACTGTCCAACAAAGATTAGTTCAAGTAAAGTCCAGCTAAGAAACTGCTGGTGTCTGAAAAAATCGCCGTGCGAGGCTTGAGTTTGCACATCGTCACATAAATTGGACAGTTCAAAGATTGAAAAAAAATATTATTCAGCGACGAAACTCGTTATAATAGTATATTATATTATGAGGAGCTAAAGTGATACTTTTTATGGCGAGTCAGTGTTTGATGGCCAAGCGAAGCGAGGCCAGCAAAATACTGACGAGCCATAAGAAGTTACTTTAGCTCCGCATAATATATGCTATTTTTTCTTCAAACGTGAGAATAACGCCCAAATAATGGTTTTCAAATGAAGAAATATTAACCCGATCGTTATGGGTAGCCGTGAGCGCGTCGGCCGTGGTGACTATAACAATTGCTATAGTTGGCCATTATTAGTTTTGACGTTTTAATTGTGGACGAGTTTTTCGATTTCAAATAAAAATGAAATTGCACAAAAAATACTTTCGACAACTTTAGAAAATCCAGGTTTATCAGATGGAATGACTTCAACTACTCCTTCATTTGAAGCAGAAACCAATCCAGTTTTTTGAAAATACTTCATTCATTCATTAGAAATAAGACGAGCCAAACAAAACTTGACTCTTCAAAACTTGGATCCTGCAGGAACGAAGGTTTAATTTCAATAATGGTAATATGACTAACTGAACTTTCAACATTAACTATTATTTAAATAAATAAATAGCTTCTTTGATCGACTATATTTTTATTTCTGTTAAAATCAGAAGGAAAGATCAACGCACTTGCTAGGTGAACCAAGAACCTAATGTAAATAACATCAACTTGTCAAAGCAAAACAATGTGACACTGGCACTGAAGCGTTTTATTGCCTAGGCACTAAAATACTTCACTGCCGCTTGTTCGATTGTTCTAAAAAGTCAAACTTTAATTCAGAGTGCTGGGCTACGTAATGTCAATATTATATGACGTTTGAAGAAAAAATTTTTAATTCCGATGGAATGAACTCTAAGTTCTTTGTCATTTAACAACAATTATATTTAGCATGTCATTGCAGCATACTATGACCTTTTAAACTGGCAGGTGGTTAATATTCGCTAATGCCAATTTTTTTTTGATAAATACTGTGTTTTTTACGACAATCTTTATACCTTTATCTTACAAAACAAAAATCAAATTTACACCATAACAACGCCTCCATCCAATAAACACAAATACCTGTTTCACCTTTTTCTTTGAACATTCATTAAATTAAATCCCGTGCTAAAATGAAACTCTTATAATCTCAACGGTTGGATTCCTTAATCCATTTAATTGTACATACACACAACAAAAACAAATGTTTTACATTAAAATCCCAAATTAATTTAGCTAATTAAATTAAACAGTACTGGTGCTACGTTAGGTCCTAGACATCAACCAAACAACTGCCGGAAGTTTTCGAGTACAAAACCATCCCGCTGGAAGATCCCAAAAGCATTGCCGACGCGTTTGCATCGTACAAAGAGGAAAACCTGGATCCGAACGATGGGCTTGAGTCGGACTTAGTACAATCCAAATTGCACTTAACGAACATACAGGAAAGTGAGTTACTAGAATCAATCAAAGTCCTAAAACCACGTGCAGCTATAGGGGAAGACGGGATCCCACCATACGTATTGAAAGGATGCGCACACAGCCTGGTAACCCCCCTGTTGCATCTATGCAACTTGGCACTCCGCACCTCCACTTTTCCCTCAGTTTGGAAATCCACTACAATTACCCCGATCCATAAAAGCGGCAGCAAGAAACTAATCGAAAATTACCGCCCAATAGCTATCATCCCTGCAATAGCGAAAATTTTCGAAAAAGTAATCTATAATAAACTTTATTCCCATCTTAGCAGTGTTATTGCAGATCAGCAGCACGGATTCACACCGAAGAAATCAACAAGTACTAACTTAATGCAGTTTACGCATTTCACAGCCGCCGTCCTTGACAAGAGGGCTCAGGTGGACTGTGTATACACCGATTTTGCGAAAGCTTTTGATAAGGTCTCCCATCAGGTCCTGCTTCAGAAACTTCATTTTAATTGTGTCAGTAGCCCAACGGCTAAATTTCTTAAATCATATTTAACATCGCGTAAAACGCGAGTGAAATACAATGGGGTGCACTCAACCGAATTTTACCCCTCTTCAGGGGTACCTCAGGGAACACTACTTGGCCCTTTCCTTTTCCTACTATTTATTAATGACCTACCGCGGGTGATTCAAAACTCCAGAGCACTTCTATTTGCAGACGACCTGAAACTTTTTAATAAAGTGAAATCTTCAAACGATTGTTTAAATATTCAAGCAGACATGCAGTGATAAATTGGTGCAATAAAAACAAACTGAAGCTAAACATAGAAAAGTGCAAAGTTGTATCGTACACAAGATCCAACAATCCCACGATTTTTAAATACGAAATAAATGGGCAGGATATCCAAAGAGTCACCTCGGTTAGAGATTTGGGCGTTTTATTCAATAGCAACTTAAATTTTCATCGGCACATTGAATCCCTTATAAATGCGTGCTACAAAGTACTAGGCTTTGTAATTAGGAATACCTACAATTTTACAAGCATTTCCTCAATTATTACCTTATACAATGCGTTCATCAGATCCAAACTCGATTATGCGGCATGTATTTGGACACCCCAAACTTATAAGCACGCAGACATGATAGAGAAAGTTCAAAAAAAATTAGTGCGAATAGTGTATTTTAGGTCGACTCAAAATTTTCCACATTTAATCTCTTACTCCAACCAACTAAAATTTTTAAATAGTGTGCACGGTATTAAAATCTCAAGTTTACAAATCCGACGCGAAGTGATCTGTGCTACCTTTGTGTACAAGATACTGAATAATCACCTAAATGGCTAAATGCCCCAGAATTGCTTCAGGAAATTAAACTCAAAGTGCCACATGTTAAATTAAGGAAAAACGATATCATCTTTTTAGTGACCACTCCGTCATCGCCACTATCGAGGAGCCTGTTGGGTTTAAATAAGAAGTGCCGTGAGAGAGACATCGATGTACACGGCTCTTTGAATGAATTAATTAGTCATATAAGATCGTAATTACTGTGTAGTTTGTAAGGTAACAATGTACCCGTGCCTTTATTTATGGGAGCGTGTAAACGCTCCTTTACAAATGCACTACATTGACATCAATAGATGTCGCTAACTAATCATTAATGATAACATAATCAAGTGTCATTTCCACTTCCTAGTCGTAGTCCTAATCATGGCTGTATAAAAGGAGGATCCCTTGAGTTTAGAAGACACTTCTATCCTGTCATTTGATGACCGAAAACCTGAATCCAGACCCGAAACTGATAATCATTCATCCGATTTCCCGTTTGCATTCGATACCGTTTCCGTTCCGCTTATATCCTTAACCCACCTGTCCCTGCACCCTTAACCTCGCCATTCATTAGAAATCATCCAGTCCTTGAAAGACGAACCCTCAAACACCCGGAAGTTCGATACCTGTGGGGCCTGTGACCCGCATGTAGCCAGCTCCCGCTTGCTTGATTTAGTCGTAAGGTTGTGAACGTTAAGCGGAGGTAGTGGCCGTGTCACATCTTGCTTTTCGTTACCATACTATCACCAGTCCCTTAGATACGAGGCGAGTCAAAGTACGGGAACTGGGAACTGTGGGGCCTTCGACCTGCATTCCTCCAGTTTGCGACCGTTGATTCTGCTTCAACCTCGAGCGTGGTGTACGGGGGTAGTGGCCGTGTCACATCCTGTGTACCACCTCTAGCATAAGTACCA